CTATTGGCATGATGGTATCTATATTGCAAACCTCAGCATCATGCAATAGCCCCATATAACAAATCTTCACATGTACTCTCTGTATCTAAAATAAGAGTTGAAATATTTTTTAAAAATTATGAAAAAAAATTATGACTACTCTGTATGATTTAATCCAGTATCCTTTCCAAACTAGGATCAAAGTATTACAATATGGGATGATATCTGCAAGTCCTTTTATTACTTTTTCTTACCCTTTTTTTTTCAACTCTGGTTTCCTAACATCTCTTGGCTGGATTTTTACCAGGTTGAATGACTTCCTAGAAAAGGTAAATTATTAAAACCCTGGGCATGGCTGGGTGTGGTGGCTTATGCTTGTAATTCCAGCACTTTGGGAGGCTGAGGCAGGCAGATCGTCTGAGGTCACAAGATCGAGACTAGCCTGATCACAATGGCAAGACTCTATTTTTACTAAAACAATACAAAAATTAGCTGGGTGTGGTGGCATGCACCTGTAATCCCAACTACTCAGGAGGCTGAGGCACGAGAATCGCTTGAACCCAGGTGGCAGAGGTTGCAGTGAGCCAAGATCATGCCACTGCACTCCAGCCTGAGTGACAGCAAAGTGAGACTCCTTAAAAAAACAAACAAACAAAAACCTGGGCATGAATGGCAATAAAACTTTCAAATGCAAATTTGCTATTTTTCTTGGAATTTCTTCTTTCTGCCCTGATTCAAGCTTCCTGAATTGTTATATTTATTACCTTTATGATGAATTTATGGCAGGTAATATAGACTATATTACTTATCATATAGTCATGTATTACTACTGAACTGGGGCTACTATAAATATTTTAAAGATATTCACTAATTTAATTCCCCCAATAAGCCTATATGTTAAGTACTATTATTCATCTTTAAAGAAGAGGAAACTGAAACATGGGAATATTAAATATTTAAGTATTGAAAATTAGTAAGGGGTAAAAACTAGTACTCCAGTTTCAGTGTGAGCTCCAAAGTTCATCTCCTACCATCTTTATTCTGCTGTCTCTCTAAAGCGAAAGACAACAGTATTGTCCTTATTATTTTTAAGTATGTTCCCTCAATACCTAGTTTAATGAGAGTGTTGAACATGAAGGGATGCTGAATTATATCAAAGGCCTTTTCTGTGCCTATTGAGATAATCATGTGGATTTTTTTCTTTAGTTCTGTTTATGTGATGAATAACATTTATTGATTTGTGTATGTTGAACCAGACTTGCATTCTGGGTGTAAATCCAACTTGATTGTGGTGGATAAACTTTTTGATGTGCTTCTGGATTCGGTCTGCCAGCATTTTATTGAGGGTTTTTGCATTGATGTTCATCAAGGATATTTGCCTAAAGTTTTCTTTTTGTTGTTGTTGTATGTCTGCCAGATTTTGGTGTCAGAATGATGCTGATCTCATAAAATGCATTGGGGAGGAGTCCTTACTTTTCAACTGTTTGTAATAGTTTTAGTAAAAATGGTCCCAGCTCTTCTTTGTATCTCTGGTATATTTCAGCTGTAAGTTTGTCTGATCCTGGGCTTTTCTGGTTGGTAGGCTCTTTATTACTGCCTCAATTTTAGAACGCATTATTGGACTATTTATGTATTCAGTTTCTTCCTGGTTCAGTCTTGGGAGGCTGTTTGTTTCCAAGAACTTACTCATTTCTTCTAGATTTTCTAGTTTATGTGTATAGAAGTGTTTATAGTATTCTCTGATTTTTTTTTTTTTTTGTATTCCTGTGGTGGTCAATGGCGATATCTCCATGATCATTTCTGATTGTGTCTATTTGTGTCTTCTCTCTTTTCTTCTTTATTAGTCTAGCTAGCATTCTATATATTTATTAGTTTTTTACAGAAAAACAGCTCCTGTGTTCATTGATTTTTTGTAGGTTATTTTGTGTTCAGCTCTGATATGGTTATTTCTTGCCTTTTGCTAGATTTGGGGTTTGCTCTTGATTCTCTAGTTCTTTTAGTTGTGTTGTTAGGTTGTTAATTTGAGATTCTTCTAGTGTTTTGATGTGGGTTCTTGGTGCTATAAATTTCCTTCTTAACACTGTTTTAGCTGCATCCCAGAGATTTTGGTATGTTGTCTCTTTGTTCTCATTAGTTTTAAATAACTTCTTCATTTTTGTCTTAATTTTATTATTTAGCCAGAAGTCATTCAGCAGCAGGTTGTTCAATTTCCATGTACTTTTGTGGTTTTGAATGAATTTCTTAGTCTTCAATCTGGGGGACTTATGATTTTAGTTCCTTTGCATTTACCAAGGAGTGTTTTACTTCCAGTTATGTGATCAATTTTAGAGTGAGAGCCATGCAGCAATGAGAAGAATGTATCTTACGTTGTTTTTTGATGGAGAGTTCTGTAGATATCTATCAGGTCTGCTTGATCCAGAGTTGAGTTAAGTTCCTAACTATCTTTGTTTGGCTAATATTGTCCATGGGGTCTTAACATCTCCCACTATTATCGTGTGGGAGTATAAGTCTTTTTGTAGGTCTCTAAGGACTTACTTTAAGAATCTGGGTCCTCCTGTATTGAGTGCATATATATTTAGAATAGTTAGCTCTTCTTGTTGAATTGAACCCTTTACCATTATGTAATGCCACCCTTTATCTTTTTTGATCTTTGTTGATTTAATGTCTTTTTTGTCAGAAACTAGAATTGTGACCTCTGCTTTTTTGTGTTTTTCATTTGCTTGGTAAATTTTCCTCCATCCCTTTATTTTGAACCTATGTGTGTCTTTGCACATGAGATGGATCTCTTGAAGACAGCATACCGATGGGTCTTGACTCTATCAACCTTGGCATTCTGTTTCTTTTAATTGGGGCATTTAGTCCATTTACCTTTAAGATTAATATTGTTATATGTGAATTTGATTGTCATGATGCTAGAACTAGCATTTTCTTACACACATTAAAAAAGGGAATTTTACATAAGTAGTTCTATGTATTTATGACAGATAATGTTTCTACCGATAAAATGAAATACATGTGATTTAAATATAAAATTTATAAATTCTTATTTCTTTGAGCCTCTGAGTTTGGGTTTCTGTTTCACAACAGAAGCTAATTAACTCATATAGATATGAGTTATCAGGAATACTGTCATGATTAAATAAATTTTAGCGGATATCTAAATGATGAGAAGAAAATCATGCTGGGAATTTTTAAGACCTTGCAATATAGATAAACTTAGCACTTTGGGGGTAAAATAAGGCCAGTATATCCAGAGCATATTGAGCAAGGGACAACTGGTAGGAAAGAAAGATTGAGAAGGAGAAAATAATGTAGTGCATTGTTATGGTAAAACATATTATTTTTAAATCAACGAATAAATAGGGAAAATGTTCATATGTGAGTTGCCCGGGGCCAGTGATCTTGGCTGGGTTGAAGTATTACTCTAGGGATCCACCAATAGTTTGACTGTAAGCTGGGTTTATTGTAAATATTTACAATATGAATATGTTGATTAATGTAACCTCTCACACACTCTATTCCTTTTTTTAGCTTCATTTTCTTTATAGCAATTGTCACTATCTGATTTTATACATGTATATTCTGTCTCTTTTTAAAGACAAGGGTTTCTTTTTCTTCATTATTCTACAATTAGTTCAGAGGATGGTTTTTGATTTATATTAAAACATATGTAATATTTGCTGAATTATAAAATTATTGAATGAATTTTGATACCTAATAAAATGGCAGCTTTCATATAGAAAATTAAATGCATTTTATTTTTCTTGCTCTCAACAGATACCGCAATCAACTGTAAGATGTAAACAATTTAAAAATATAAGTTTGTAGGTTATTTACAGAAATATTTGTTATGGCTCTTGTTGTGGTTGTGGTTGTTTTTTTAACTAATCTCAGCAATTCTCATGGCCCAGCACCATGCCTAGAATAGTCGAGAACACAGAGATTAATCAAAGGATGAATGGGTAAATGGAACAATAATGGAATAAAGCAAGGCGGTGCAAATGCTATATGTATGCAGATAATGGAACTTCCAATTCTTCATATTCCTAATTTGAGCCTGGCTAGTGTAGTGTAGAATAAGTATTAAGTATTGCCATTTCCAGTTTAGAAAAGTCAAGGGCTTTGCCAAAGATCACATAGCTGGGAAATGGTGGAGGCAAGATTTGAATATATAACTTCCAAATCTGAAGGTACTGATTTTCTCTTCCAATATCACAATAATGACACTTATAATGGTATAGAGATATGGGAGAATAGAGAAGTGTATGGGATTAAAAAACAAAAAAATAATAAAAATAGAGTAAATACTAGTACATTTGTCTACTTTGGCTGCAATAACAAAATACCATTGACTAGGTGTCTTAAATAATAAACTCTATTATCTCTCAGTTCTCCATGCTAGAAGTCCCAGAGTGAGGTGTCCATATGTTTAGTTTCTGGCAAAGGCTCTTCCTAGCCTGTAGACTGTGCCTTCTCTGTGTGTCTTCACTTGGCCCATACCTGTGAGCGCAAAGAAGTATCTCTGTTGTTTTTTCCCTCTGTTTACATTAACATGTGTCCTATGGAACTAGGGCCTCACTCTTGTGACTTCATTTAATTTAAATTAACCCCAGAGTGCTCTGTCTCCAAATACAGTGAGAATAAGGGGTTGAGGCTTCAACATATACATTTTGGGGGGATAAAATTCAGTCTATACTAACTAGAAATATAAGTGATGGATTTAAATTACAAGTATTCCTAGAGACTTGAATTGGGTCCTTGAAACTAGATGTTTTGGTCTAGTGAAGCATTTAGTGCATATTCATCCAGAACTACCATTTTCTGCATATTCTTCACATCAAATTATCATGATATATAGTATTTTTAACCTGAATTCTAAATGAATCTTACAGGACACTGTGTTTGTTTTTTTTTTTTTTCTCTTCTCTCTTTTTACAAATTTTTGGCAATATATGACAGATGCCTAAAATACATAGGGAAATTACAGAATTTATCTAGAAGATTTATCTCTTATTTTACAGGCGCAACAGCTTACTGATCTGGAACAAAAATTAGCTGTAGCCAAAAATGAACTGGAGAAAGCAGCTCTTGACAGGGTAAGTCTACATTCATGAACCATTAAAACTTTAGTTTTAGCAAAAAAAAAAAAAGTTAAAGTATGTCCATTGCTTTTCTTGATTTATTAATGTGTTTCCAGATGCTGTGTATATAAGATAGTTACAGAATTCAGGAAGGTTTGATATCTTCTTTGTAATCCAATTATTTCTTTGTTTTGCTGCTACAGTAAATTGACTGACGGTTCAGTCTTCGTGAGTTCATGGCTCCATTTTTCACCTCACTAGTATGTTTATTCCATAATACCATGAATAAACATGCTTTAAAACATCAACTAAGGCACTATATATTAACTCTGGGTGACTGAGTTATGAAGCAAAAGGAACTAATTATTGGCATCAAATTGTTATAACCAGTTTTTGAATGTGTATATCTTATCATTTGTATTTATCAATATTTGCTTGGAAACATGAACAATAACACTGAGTACAGCAATGTTTATATTAATAATAAATGGAAGTAATTTAACTATTTACTCTAGGATAATTAATGCACCTATTTTTATATATTTTTTATACTCAAATTTGGAAATAGTAATTAAAACATAATATTAACAAATATACATAAATGGATGCACAATCGCTGCAATATGGTTTAAATCCTAGAAGATCATTAGATTCCCATGATTCTGAAGCAGGCTGGTCTTCTCTGAGTTGCTACCCTCTCTGACTCTTGGAATATTCTTCATGGTATTAAATGTTTTCCCATTTGACTTCACATAATCCTTTTAGTCAATCAATGACTAAGTAGTTTTGAAGTGCCTTTTTTGTTGTGGCCATCCTATGCTAGGTACAATGGAAAATAGAAAATATATGAGACAAGGTCTTGGGTCCCATATCTCTCACAATTTTGTTTAGCACTAACAATTAGGAAATAATTGTATGCTGAGACATGAGGCAACAGAAGCACAGAGAATACATATGTATTCTGTAAGTACCTGTGGGTCATAAGGCACGGTATGGTCACAAAACAATTTATTTTGCAACTGGAATTTGGCCTGAGTCACAGAGCTCGGGGTTATTGTAGAGTTGTTCCTCCATCTTTAGTAGTACATATTCTTACCCATTTGATGCTCTTCTCCTCCCAATTCCACCTCCTAACCCCTGTCATTATGTCCCTAAATTTCAGGATGAGAGCCTGATGTTGCAGTGGTTAAATAATGGTCTCCAGAGATAGTTTACTTGTGTTCAAATCATGACTCTTTGACTGAATGGTCATGTTCAAATTCCTCAAAAATCTTCATGTCTCACTGGGAATAACAGTAAACTTTATTTATAATGGTGATGAGAAAATTACACATAGCAAAAAATTACAGTACTAGGTACAATGCCTGGAAAACATTAAGTAAGTAAACTTAGAAGTTATTATTGTTACTGAGTGAGATCACAGATGACTTCTCTATGATAACAATTCCCTCTTTAACCTTGAGATCTTGTCACACCTTTTGGTAACTGTAAATGCCTTTTATATTACTGGAGGCTGATTTTAACAAATCATGTGTAAGATACATATGAGGCTCATAAACTGTAGCCATAAAGTCAGATAGAAATGCTAGCTGACTTCAAAAGGGATAAAAACTACAGTTTAATGAAATGGATTTTCACCTCTCTCCATCATCTTTATATGAGGTTTTTAAAATACTCTTAGAGTATCTAGTTCCCAAGAACATAATATCTGGAATTCAAATAATCTTAAGTACTTCCTACATATTATGAAAAACTCTTAACACTTCAACTTGATTCGTATGACATATTTAATGAAAGAAGTCTCAGTTTAGTATCTCAGTATAAACAATAATATTATCAAGAGCTAAGAATCAACCTTGAGTTTCCAATCAATTATTTATTTGGCAATATCTTATGAATTATATATGGTTGGCCTCAGCTACTGGAATATAAAAGAAGCCTTATGCTAAGAAAATATCTCAAACTTTTACATTAAAAGTATTTGTATAGTTTCTGTCCCATACAAAATTTCACCCAGGAAAGCATACATTATTACATCCATATTACAGATGACATAGGTAAAATAGGTGACCTGCATAGACTCCAATGACTGAGTAATAACAGAATGAGAAATCTTTTTGCCACCACACAGTGTCTGGCACATCACAGGAATATAACAAACACTTCTTAATTAAAAATAAAGACCTGACCTAAATGAATAAGCGTTCTACTCATTCTACATACACGGGACCTGAATATCACTGGAGCAGAGGTCCCAAAATATTGAATGACTTTCCCAGGCTCTCTGAACTGATTTCATGGCAGAAATAAAGTTAGGGAGAAAGCGTTTGGCCTCACAGCCTCTCATGGTCTTTCCAAAGCCTGCAGTTGAAGACTTGGTGTCTGTATGCAAAAGAATTAAGGTAACATGAAAAATATCTTGTAAAGTTTCATTTGTGTAGAGATTAGATTTTAGGGGCACAGTTGTCTTTGCAATGTATATCTTGTTGTCCCCAGACAAAATGCATTTTCTTCTGAGAAAAGTACTAACACACACCAAAAAACAAACAAACAAACAAACAAACAAAAAACAAAAAAGCAAAAAAAAAAAACCACTATCTCTTAAATCTTCCACCATCTTAGGATCACATAAGAGAAATAATTTCTTATAAACTTTTCATATTATACAGTGTAAGTGGTAGTATTTTTCAATATATGAAATAAGTTTCTTTTCTAATATACAAGATAAAATGAGAAATATTTCATTATTTTCTCTTGTAACAGAGCACTAACTTATATTCCCTGGAGGGTTTGTTTAATTTTTTATATAACAAGCATGTGTTGTGTTAGAAACTGATGATGCCACAGAAAGGATAACAGCCTTCAAAAACGTTTGTTAAAAGTGAACATTAAACATATAAACAACAAGATAATTTGAAATGATGGTAAGGAATAAATAAGATATAAAATTAGAAAATATAATAACAATTTTAAGAAAGACGCATTCCTGGAAAGGGTGATAGGGGCTGTTTCCATGAAAATGGTGTGTGAGCTGATACATATATTTTAAGTGGTAGTTTCTATATGGGTATTTGGAAGAAGGGTTCTGCAAGCAGAGGAAGCAGCATTTGTAAAGGCTGTAATATGGAAATGAGTTTGGAATGCTTGAGGGTCTTTATACAAAGGATATTGTGATAAACAGGGCATTTTAGTTAAGGAACTTGCATTTTACTATCACATTTTGAAACAAGTGGGAAAAGTGGTGTGCTGCAGGGAGCGGAAAGACAGAGGAAAAACAAGACTGGCTGTACATGGTTTATATCAGATTTCATTAGGTGATAGCTTGTTTTAGCAAACTTCAAAGTAGACAGTAGCCTGCAGTTTAAAACAAATGACACCTAACAGTATAAATAAAAATGTAATGCCATCGTAGTGTGAAATCATCCTCTGGGTTTTGCTCATGGAACTGAGTGAAGCCAAACCTGAGTATGAGTAATAGACTCTGTTAAGTTAGAGGAACTTAATAGGCATTAGGTAAGTGGTGGGCAATTCAGACCTGAGGGTTTCTTCGATTTTTAGGCCATATAGGGTAACTTTGTGACCTTGTCATGGCATTTGTAAAATGTCATGTGCTGGTGGGGGTGTCTTTTAGCACGCTAATGCATTATAATTAGTATATAATGAGCAATGAGGATGACCAGTGGTCACCCTCATTGCCTTCTTGGTTTTGGGGGTTTTCGCTGGATTCTTGACTGTATCTGTTTTATCAGCAAGGTCTTTATGACCTATATCTTATGTTGACCTCCTATCTCACCCCGTGACTTTTAATGCCTAATCTGGGAATGCAGCCCAGTAGGTCTAAGCTCAGCCCCTATTCAAAATGGAGTTGCTCTGGTTCAAACGCCCCTGACGCTATTATCTAACAAGGCCCATAGGAAATGAGAGTTTTATCAGAGACAAATTTGTTTTTTCCATTATGTGGGGAAATCAAGGAGAGGTATAGGCTAATCTGAGAAACATAAGAATCTACATTGCTATGGCAATGATTCTAAATACAGAAAGTAGATGCAGAAAGAAAGATGGCAAGTTTCATCAACAGAGTAAACAGACAACCTATAGAATAGGTAGAAATATTTGCAAATTATGCATCTGACAAAGATCTAATATCTAGCATATATAAGGAACTTAAATTTATAAGAGAAAAACAAACAACCTCATTAAAAAGTAGGTAAAGGACATGAATAGACACTTTTCAAAAGAAGACATACATGTGGCCAACAAGCATATGAAAAAAGCTCAATATCACTAATTATTAGAAAAATGCAAATCGAAATCACAATGAGATACCATCTCACACTAGTCAAAATGACTGTTATTAAAACGTTAAAAAATAACAGATGGTTGTGAGGTTGCAGAGAAAAGGGAAGACTTATGTAGTTAGTGGGAGTGTAAATTAGTTCATCCATCGTGGAAAGCAGTATAGCAATTCCTCAAAGAACTAAAAGCAGAACAATAATTTGACGCAGCCGTCCCATTACTGGGTACACACCAAGAGTAATAAACATTTTTCTTCCATAAAGACACATGCATATGAGTGTTCATTGCAGCAATATTCACAATAACAAAGGTATAGAATCAACCTAAATACCCTTCAATGACAGATTGGATAAATAATGTGTGATACATATACACTATGGAATAGTATCCAGTCATAAAAAAGAATGAGATCATGTCTTTTGCAGGAACATGGATGGAGCTAGAGGCTATTATCCTTAGAAAGCTAATGCAAGTACAGAAAACTAAATACCCACCACTCCCACAAGGGAGCTAAATGATGAAAACTTAGGAACACAAAGGAGAAAACAACAGATACTGAGGTCTACCTGAGGGTGGAGGATGGGAGAAAGGAGAAGAGTAGAGAGGAGTAGAAAGGATAACTGCTGGGTACTGGGCTGAACACCTGGGAGATGAAATAATCTGTATAACAAACCCTCATGACACACATTTACCTATTTAACAAACCTTCATATGTGCCCCCAAACCTAAAATAAAAGTTAAATAAAGATGGTAACTTTCAAAAAATGATATTTTCTACATCAGAGTAACCTAGAGTATATTTCCTTTCCTGCAAACTATCGTGATGGAAATCATGTTAGTTCAAGAGAAAGTAGTAAGATGTATCTTTGTATTTTGGTGTTCAAAATATGTGATGAAATGCATTAGCTCCTAGAAACAGACCGAGTGTGGATAAAAAAGTATGTCATAATGAAATTTATATATTAGGCAATTACATTTGAAAACCGATATATATTTTTGTGGGGAGTCTAGGCTAAGAGGAAAGGGAGAATGCAAGCAGATAATCGATGAGCATAGCTAAATGTAAATATGTTAATGCCTCTTTTTTGTAGGAGTCACAGATGAAAGCAATGAAAGAGACTGTGCAGCTCTGCTTGACATCCGTTTTCCGTGATCAGCCTCCTCCCCCTTTAAGTTTAATCACGTCAAATCCCACTCAGATGTTACTCCCACCCAGGAATATTGCCTCTAAGCTTCCAGATGCAGGGGGCAAAAGCAAGGTACCTACCTTTTATTTGTGCTTTGTAAAGTAACAGCAAATAATGTGTTATCTTTAAAGCTCAGTGTATGTAATCACCAGAGTGGATTCCAGTATGATAACAACTCCTTTGAAAGATTAGGAGGAATATGGAAGGTAGTAACCCAGCTTGTAAAATGTCCATAGTCACTAGAAGAATGTTGGAAGGGAGCTTTTCTTTCATAGAGAACCTAGCTGTTTCTTAGGCAGAATCATCTAACTGTTTCACACAAAACAAAAGCTAATAATGTTGGAATAAGTTAAAAGAAAATATCTTGTATTACATTGCAATAAACATCACAGGTTTGATATGGAGAATATTTTCTGGGGTATAAGTATCTTCAGAAAAGTATTTATTTTTTTCTTAAGTTCACAACTCTCAAAACTGGTTGCACATTAGAATCTTAGTGTAAATATTTTTTAAAGTGTGCTTAGGTGTATTTACATTTAAAAAGCCTGACTCCTGGGATTTTTCCCCCAGACCTATTAAATTAGATTTTGGAGGGGGGTGGCGGTTAGACTCCAGTTATCAGTAATTTTTCAAAGTCCCAGGGGACTGTAAGGTGCATTTAAGGACAACTCATATGAGCAAATCTTCCTCCAAATTCCCTCCACCAACCTACTTTAGGCCAAACAAGTAACATTTAATGGTGCTTTTGTTTCAATCTTCAAAAACTTAAATTTGTAGGTCCTACATTGAAATAAATCCTGACAGCTAGAAATCATCTCTGGAGAAAGGAGTTTTGTTTTGGGCACTATGTTGGAAAGAACTAGTTCTCTGATCACTTGTCTGAGCGTCACTTGTTGTTCAAATGAGTGCTATGGATACCAGCCTGACTTCTAAATGCAAATCTCAAGGGTTGAGTGCAGAAAAACTTAAGAACCACTAATGCAAGTACCTAATGATGTGTTACATCTGACTTTCTTACTGCTTATTTCTGAGATTTCCTATTTTTGAATTAAAGTAGGTAGTTAGGGAAATGCTACTTTCAGGGTGGAGAGTCAGAAATAAGTAGAACCAAGTAAATCTTCTGACGTACTGTTTTTATCTGTAACTAGTCAACTTATGAACTACAAAGATTTAATCTGTGTGAGATCCTTATGTAATATTAATGTTTCTCTTTTAAAAATTATTCAAAACAACATAGTTTAACTTTGTTATATTATTGTCTGTGTTTTTATATGTAGTGAAGGACCTCTAAGAATTTCAAAGCCAATATTTTTCTCATTAGTTTTGTTCTGCCTTTTCACTGAAAAGTAGAGATTCAAAGTGTTTGTTTACCTAACAAAACTCAGGCAAAATAAGTACATGATAATGTAGTTTTTAAATGTTCATCATGAAACATTCCGGGTAAGTTCTTTGAAACTGGTCATTGGTGAAATGCACAGCTGCAGACAGCCTTACCCATCTGTCAGGAAACCACACCCTTAGTCCACTTAGTGTTAAACCTCCAAAGGATGAGGAAAGGTTCAGTCTCATTAAGACTCATGACTTTGGACAAAACAGCTTTGTAATTCTATGGGCACATTATATTTGTTTCCAACTCAAAATATATCTGTTTAAAGTCATTATTAAAACTAGACTGTTTTTGACCCTGAATGTGTGGAGGAAATTACTAGTTGTTGCTATAACTGGTTTTCTATGAATAAATGTATGCCTTGTCTTTGAAATAAATAATAAATTTTTATTATTTATCTTGGCTTATCACAGAAAAAAAGATAGAAAATCATTGAGAAGACCATAGTTTGGTGATTGCCTATTTTTTAAAAAATAACAAGAAAGTCAATTGTTTAAGATAGAATTTAGTAAGTCTAATTTAATGTACTATAGAATGTTCTGTTTTACAAAGATGTCCATTAAAAGTTTGGATGCTGTTTAAGTTTTGCTCGTATTATTTATCTTTTTAATAGTGGTAAAATTGTAATTTTTGTATGCTTGGGACTTAATCCCTAAGCAGTATCCTCACAAATAATATTTTTAAAATCTTGAATAATATAATGTGATACAGGTGTGTATAATAAAACTAACATTTCAGTCATGGAATAATTATTCTCTATATCCAAAAAGACGACTCGTAAATGAGGATATTTGACTGGTTTCAAGTTCTTCAGAATTGGCTAAAAATAGCCACAGTGATATGCAGTGCCTGGTGAGAGTTGTAAGACAATCCTATCACAGGACCTCTTGGTGCCTCAGTTTCCTTAGTGCCAAACTCAGTGTTATTGTGATGTGAGTACTCAGAATAATAATTCTTCTAATTTTCCATAATATCTGGCCATCTTCATCTAATTTCATTTGATTTTTATTTAGAGAGGTCTTATTTTTTCCTAATATAAATCCTTACATTTCCCAGTATGCAGTTTTAAGCAATTTTCAGCTCACGTATAGAAAAAGACAACATAGTGACCAAAATATGTTATTCGTTTTTTCTTCTAGGAGATTGGGTAATGCAGCCAAATTTTTTATTCCTGAGCATGAATGAGTCAATATTTATATGTGTGTGTTTGTGTCTATATATTTATATATGTACATATATATGCAAATATTATAATTATGATAATACTATTGTGATATATTATGATATATTTATTATCAATATATTAAAATTTTTTATTTATTGACATATATAAATCAAGAGTATATATTAATTAATATATAATATCGATACTATTCATATAATATAATATTATATATATAAATATGTTTTATATAATAACATTACTAATAATTATATACCATATATTAAAGTAATTTATATCAAATATATTATTTATAGTATATATATTGATAACAACTATATTATGTATTGTAAATACAATACATATAAAATATATATTGATTATATAATAAAAATATAATAATATACATATAATATATAGATTGTCGACATTTAAAAAGTCACAGGTACACGAAGGGAGGAGTACAAAATTGCAAGGGTTTATTAGAAAAAGGTTAAAAATAATTAATGTATTAGTACCCCCACCATTTAAATTTATTGTTTTTATTATGGTGCATACCTGTTATATTCACTGTTAGAACTACAGCTTAAGTTTCTGCGGAGAATCTTCAACCAACCCCATCAGATACCCTTTCATCATTGCCCTTTGTAAAATCGAGGTGCCGGTTTCTCTCTAATTGGAGTGAATTATTTCTTACCCTCCCAGTTAGAATTATTTTTTCTTTCCTTAGTGCTTGCTTTGACAGTTGAGTGTTTCCTATTCTTGGCCCTTGGTCATCCCTTGAATGTTATGTCTGCATATGTCTTCCTTCTTCAGAGAGATGACTGTGCTGAGCTCATTGATCTGTTTAACATTATTTAGTGTCCAGAATGATGTTTCTAGAATTTTCATTTGAAATACTTGTGGTATGCCCTTCTTCTTCTTATAAATTGTCTTATAAATTTCAAATGACACTTGTTATATGCCCTTCTTCTTATAAATTTTCTTATAAATTCTTCTTAGAAATTTTACTTATTTGGAATTTAGAAAATTATATATTATTGTTTGTTTAGTGCTTCGTATTCAACTACATTGTTTTTCTTCTATGTACCAGTACTCTGCTGGTAACTAAGACAGCAAGCACATTTGAAGTGACACAGCCCTCAACTTTTGGAGATTGTAGCCTAATTTTCTGTAAGAGACAATGAGAAAACTGCAGAATTTATTCTTAGTAGTAGATCAGGTTATTTTTTGTTCGTTTCCTTTTTTGTTTTCTAGATACCTGGATACAAATACACAGGAGATGATGTATCTTTTATGTCTTTGTTATGATAATATATGTTTGTTATGTAGAAAATAATATTCTTTCAAATATATAAAATGCCAAGATAGAAACCAGGGGATCCAATGTGCATTTTGCATGAAATGACCCCAACTAAAGTAGAAACAAACCGTGTGACAATCTTGTAACCTATGTAGGAGAGGATGGTGACCTACTTTATATCGCCGACACTGGAAATAGGATTCAAAATGTTATTGAGTCATAAAATTGTCATAACCTAGTGACTAAATGGAAATCATGAAGGGAGGAAATCAAGAATAACAGTCCTTGCATTCATTCACTGTGATGTAAAAGGCAAGAGGGGGTTTTAAAAGGAAACCAAACTGATTTGTTTTTAACCTGCTGTGTTTTGAGTTTCTGTCATAATACCAAGAGCCCATATCCAGTAGATGATTATGTATTTAAATCTGGAAGTGAGGTAAGACATCTGAATAAAGATATAAGATTAGATATCATCACAATGAATAGGGTTAAATATTGGAAATAAATAAAATTACCTGAAAAGACGGTATGGAGTGAAAAGAGGTGAGGGCTGCAAAGATACTCAGCATAAGAAGTAACAAGAGTATGGATTTATGTGTAAGCTAACAGATGGAATGTTTATGACAAAAGTGCATTTATTCCCATTATTTTGCTGAGATACTCTCTAATGTACATTTAAACTGAGAGTCATGATTTTTCTATGCCTATTTTGCTAGTGCAAAAAATAGAGCATGCATGTGTATATTTAGAATGACAAATACTCCAGTGGTCTGTTGGAGGTGGCTCATACGTGCTTGCAAATGTTGACTGTTAAATTTACAGAATTTGTACTATTCAACTGTTTAATACAGGCATTATTAAATGTTATATATACTTACAATTAAATAAATTCTACCAATGGCAGTGTAGTAAATACCAAAGCTACTACGTAGTGCTATAATCTATGCTGTTAAGGATATTGTATATTTTGGATCTGTATAGTGGAAATACTATATAATAGTATATTACTGCATATCTCTTTGCAATTTGTGTTCAATGACATCATGTTAGTAGATTCAAATTCATAGTATTTATACTGTAGAAATTGACAAACACTATAAATTGGGATCCTCCTAACCCACAGAGCTAGTGAATAGCATGCCTGTGTGTGTGTGTCTTTGTGTAACATTTAAGACAGGATTAATTGGAATTATAAATAATATACAAAAAAAAGTGACTAA